GCAGGAGACCGTTATGGACTCCCAGTCACCAGCAGCGGTAGATGGGGCGTTGGCCCTGTTAGAATTAACCATGTCCACTTTGCGCGCGTTTAAGCGCTCTCTCCCCTCCTAAGGTGTTAGCACCAGCCCCTCTACAGATTGTGCGGGACAGGGTGAAATTTTAGGAGCGCATCTTTCTTTGGGTAGACGCTCCAAATCGTCACCACCAGCATCGTCCTCTTTCGGGGCTTAGTACTCGTTGACATGATTCGCTCGGCGCTATCCTTACATTGCTTGGGCCATGTGTGCTTTTCAGGAATTCCGTACTCAGCCTAGCGAGTTAGCTTTGAATGCTCCTAATTGGACATTGCCTCTCCTCTTGCTGCCCTTCCAGATGTGAATGCTCTGGATTGGACATTGCCTCTCTTCTTGCTGCCCTTCCAGATGCGAATGCTCTGGATTGGACATTGCCTCTCCTCTTGCTGCCCTTCCAGATGCGAATGCTCTGGATTGGACATTGCCTCTCCTCTTGCTGCCATTCCAGGGGCGAATGCTCCGGATTGGACAGTGCCCTTCTTCTTGCTGCCATTCCAGGGGCGAATGCTCTGGATTGGACATTGCCTTTCTTCTTGCTGCCCTTCGTCAATGCTCCTAATTGAGCATTGTCTCTTCTCTTGCCACCCTTCAGGGGCGAATGCTCCCAATGGGACATGGTGTTTTCTCTTGGTACCCCTTCGGGGGCTAGTAATTCTTTGATTTAGTCGGGGAATATTTTGTTGCAGCAGGAGTTATTTTTTTTTTTTATTTCTTTTTCTTTCACGAGGGTAATTTGTTGATGTTTCTATAGCCGTGCTCGTGTTGGAGTTGGTAGCCGCTAGGCCTACGGGGTTATGTGGCAAGGAGTCTCGCAGTTATGTTCCAGATTGAGATAAAAAGGAATCTCACCCAAAATCTCCAGCAAAATTCTACTTGCCGTAGCGGCTTATTTCATTATTGAGATCAAAACATCTCTTTAAGTTTGGTTACAAGGCTGCTGGGAATAAACACATTCCCAGTGGTGTACATATTTCATATATGTACAGTAACGTGGGTGATTTCTTGCCCTAGTCTTATAGCATCCAGGAATCAAAACATTCCTGGGGCACACTGGAGATAGTTTATGCGTCCGGGAGCGTTTCGCTTTTTCTTTAGGGATTAGCCACAGTCCCGACCCTGTTGTTGCTTATTCATTTATTTTTCTTAAGGGTCTAGATGCATAACAGGGCGTGTGTTCGCCTATAATTCAGCACATATCATTCGGCATTGGATACGACAATTAACCCATAATGTATGTTTTTTCCACAGCATTATGTTGTACTAACCATATATGTTTTGCATTTCAGAACAGTTCCTGTGGTGCCTGTGCACCAGTCTGGCGATACCTCGTCCCTCTCATACAGGGCGAGCCTTTTGTGTATGTGGTTGTGGAGTCAGGGACTCCAATCTAAATTGAGACCTAATTGTCTTACCCAAAATTAATACCACCTACTGAGGTGTCTTTGAGCCAAATTCTATCCGAGCGCTACTGCTCTGTTTTAGAGATAAACCCATCTCTTATTGTGACTGTTACCAGCTGCTAGGGATCAACACATTTCTAGTGGCGTATGCATTTGCTATGTATACGGTAACTTTAGGTGTTTTTCTTTCTCACCTGGGTGTATTCAAGGATCATGTGGGGGGTGTTCCAGCTCCTTTTTGCAAGGGGATCTACCACAGTCCCCATCCCATTTATTTGTTCTTGGTCCATTCCGCGGGTCGTGGGATAGATGGCACAGTCGAGCGTTTCGCTTCCCAGTATCCTCCCATTGTTTCAGAAAAGAGAAGGGGGAAGAGAGCAGTAGTAGAGGCCCAGGTTGAAACAAAATTTCAAGTCAGAGTAACCAGATCGTGTCAGAACGATGGAGGCCCCCGCTCCGAAAACAGGGGAGAATGTAGTGCCAGTGCCTGGACTATTAGTAAACAAAAGTGACCTCTGACCCCGTGATGTCACGGACCACGCTGTCTGAAGTCGGAGGCGCCGAGAGCAGCACTTGGAGACTAGGACAAGGACAGTCCGGAAGTCAAAGTCGGAATACAGAGGACCCAGCCCGGACTTGCTTATACGATTCAGACGGACATTCCTGAATACGGACAATGGTGAGTTACGGGCCTGGGATCTATTATTAGTCTTCTAATTACTAGGGTAGTTTAAGTAGTAATGAATTAACTTGTGGAGTCTAGCAAACTCTACAATCTCTTCATTTTTTGGCTGGTCACCGTTGACCCACATAGACTCCCATTAATAATGCTTTTTCTTCTACTTACGCCGCCTACGATTGCAGTAATTTCATTTGCTGAGAAGTTAGTATTCCTCTTTGACTTAGATGGTTCCATCTTGTCAACTCAAGAACAAACGGGTCTATGAATGATGATGTGTGTATGCTGCGAGTGCGTCGTGTCATACAGACGACGAACCAAGGAAGTAAACAAAAAATTGCGCCATCTCGGTCCGCGCCGTTTTTCAAAAGTAGTAAAAATCGTATTACGCATGCGTAAGCAAATATTTTTGGACTTAAGACAAAATTTGCAGCCCTCTATAAACTACAAGAAGTCGATTGTACGCATGCGCCATATAAGACGATTTTTTTGCTAAGATTTTGCTAAGACAGTTTGATAAAGATTTTTGCTTAGCTACTTCTTGACTTTTTTGACTTAAGACATTTGCTAAGCTGAGATTGATAAATCCCGGGACTGGTGTAAGGCTCCGCGCAAAACCTAGGCCTAGGCTAGACTAGAAATCCATGTAAAGTTTGGAAAATGAGGACCTAATTCCGCACAAGTTTTAGCTAGTTTTTGAGGTATCATCCACGCAATTAAAATACTTTACAACTGTTTTACACTTAAAAAAAATCTCCAATATATAGCACACCACTAAGAAAATTTCAGCAAGAAATTTAGGCTTATTTAAAGAGGTACGGTTGAAGGTGACATGACGTCATTTCATGAATTTAGTCTGAAAGAAGTCAGTCGTGCGTCTTTTTATCTAATCAAAAGATTATATTAGGTTAAGTCATTTCATATCCATAGGGGAAAATCCATGGTAACTTTGCATTTTTTCCTACTTTCATGCAATCTACTGATAATTACACTTACACCGTCCGCCCTCCAATTCAAGACCTCTCTGTGTATCTGAAAATTGGGGCGGTCTTGGGGCTTGGTCTCAAATTAGAAACCTCTAAACAGGGACCATCATAAGGCAAAAGTCCCCGTTAGCAGAAATGGTCCATAGTGAGCTGTCTGATAGTTGAGAGTGAGCTGTCAAATGGTCCAGAGGGAGCTGT